AGCCGTCTGTACTCTTGAATGAGCAGATGCAGGAAGGCTGTATCTGCCTATATCTCAGGAAGGCCTAGCTGGGGGCCTTTTTCTCTAGTGCATAAAAATTGTTCTTTTCTCAGTTTCTGTGGAACAGGGTAGGGTATAGGATCAAAAGAAGAGAGATGCTGGGAGTTGTCCTCATATTAAAAAGTTTCTGGGTCTCCCTTGAACATCAGATGTCCATACCAGGCACGAGGCACACAGCTGTAATCGCAGCAGCTTGGGAGGCAGACGCAGGAGGATCCCAAGTTAGAGCCAGTCTCAGCAACTTAGCAAGACCTGTCTCTAAATAAATCAAAAGGTCTGGGGACGTGGCTCAGTGGTTAAGCCACCCTGGGTTCAATCTCTGGTACCCCCCCCCAAAAAAAAATTAGATGTCCTTCCATCCTCTCCGCAGAGGAGCACTCACTTGACAGGGGATGGTCCCCAAGTGGCTGGCGTCTACTGTTTCTCATTGCCCTGATCACCCTGAGCACTGTTTCATAGGTGCGCTGTAGATCCTGTTTCACAATTTAATATTTTTCTCCTCCTCCTCCTCCTCGTTTTTCTCCCCCCCCCCACAACCCCTTTTCCTTTTTAAAATCTGTGCCCATTTCTGATTTATTGTGGGTGGCATGGAGGGACTTCGTCACGCTTCATTTGGTCCTGCTTCCCCTTTCAGAAGCCCGTGGTCTGTATCCATGTCCCTCCCTCCACTGGCTGATGGGAAGTGAGCTGTTCTCTTCATTCCTGCAGTCTTGCAGCTCAGGGGAACCCTTCCTCTTTGATTTGAGCTTCTGTGTGCCCGGCTTTTAAATTTATTTATGTATTTGATTGTGGTGTTGGGGATGGAACCCAAGGCCACACCAGGCCAGGACTCGGCTCTGGTCATGAGCCACATCCCCAGCCCCTCTGCTCCTGTTTCTGTATGTTAATTGTTTCCCTCTTCATTCCTCCTTCACTCTGAGGGAGCTTCTGTCACCGTCATGGTGCAGAAGGGAACCTGAAGCTCAGACAGCAGTGTGGAGTAGAGGGAGATTTGGGCCTTGCCTGGTGGCTTGCAGGCTGTGGGCCCTTGGAGTCACACAGCCTTCCAGGCGTTTCCTCAGTGGTCATGTGGGAAGATGAGCAAGATTCCCACAAGGAGGAGTGGCGATGGGGTAGAGAGGAAGGACTTTGAGCTTCAAGACAGTTATATGGCCTTAGGCAAGTCACCTGTAAAATGGTGATCCCCATGGGGATTCTGCAAGATTTTTTAAAAAATACTTTTAGTTGTAGATGGACACAGTACCTTTATTTTATTTATTTATTTTGATGTGGTGCTGAGAACCGAACTCAGTGCCTCACCTGTGCTAGGCAAGCGCTCTACCACTGAGCCACCACCCCAGTCCCCTGAAAGATTGTTTTAACTGTTAGAGGCCCCAACTGAGAAGTCGCAGCACCATGCTTGGCCTTCAGAATAGGTTAGCTGTTCCATCTCCTTCACCATCTGGATTTGGCCCTTTGTCCCTGGGGACCTTAGTCCTGAGTGGGGGAACTGGAGCTGGAACTAGAACCCAGGTGTTCTAGCCCTGAGCTCCTGGGTGGAGCACTGGGAGCCCCCCAGGTGGTATCTGGATTGGCTGGGATCTGTCAGGACAGGGCTGAGGATGCTTGAGGATGGAGACCAAGAAAGGGTGAGTCATCAGGACCCCTGGTCAGAGATGTCTGCCCCTCACCCTTGCCAAGCTGCTCCAGGACTGACGGGGCCATCCTTTGGGTTCCTGATGATTTTCACATGAAAGGAGAGACATGGTTGCCCTGCCCACTAGTGGAGTGGCAATAATGGCTGCTACTTAGCCAGGGAGCCAGCGAGCATGGGAGCACCTCAGTGTGGACCTGTGTCTCTTTAATCCTGGAGACCCCGGGCACTGCCAGCCCCGTTTTCCAGAAGAGGAGCAAGGCCATGGAGCCGGTGAGGGCAGGTCCAGCTCCGAGTCCAGGTCGCTTAGCTCCAAAGCCCATGTTCTCTGCTTGAAATTCTGTGACCTTCTTACGGTATCCTCCATGTGAGGCTGCTCCAGCAATAACTGTATTAATAGGATGCCCAGCCACGTCCCCAAACCCACACTCACTGTCAGTTTTATTTCAGCATTGACTGATTTTACCCCTGGCCAAATAGAATTTAACCAAGTTGCCACTGTTGCAGGAAAGAAAAAAAAATGGGTAAGAATCTTAAAACTTGAAAAAGGAGGGCTAGTTGGCCCCAATTTTGGATGCCTTATGCCAGCCTAGGAAGAAGGAGAAGTTAACAGTTATTTCCCAAGGTAACTTCTTGGGTGCCTTTAAAATAAAAAAAAAAAACAAAACACTTTAATGGCTGTGTTGACTACCACAGTGACTAGAGTTTGAAGTAAGATCAGGAACTAATGTGATCTTATTAAGGTCCTTCCTTCACAGGAAAGCTGCCATGCTCCTGCCTGTCACAGGCCCTTTGCACAGGATGCCCGTGGTACACACATCCCCCTTTCTCTGTATCCTTTCCCTCCTGCCCTCCCTTCTTTGATTCATTAATTGATTCTTAGGGCTTAAATTAAAAACTAACTCAGGAAACACACTGACCCTTTTCCATGCCAGTCTCCATTATATGTTAGGGTTATTTTTAATTTCTGATCTGTTAATGTTAACCTCCCCCACTAGACTCTAAGCCCCATGAAGGCAGGGAACACATTGATCTTATGTGATTCTTTTTTTTTTCTTTGTAGCTGTATATGGACAGAAAGTCTTTGTTTTATTTATTTTTATGTGGTGCTAAGGATCGAACCCAGTGCCTCACACTGCTGGGCGAGCACTCTGCCACTGAGCCCCAGCCCCAGCCCTCACGTGACTCTTGAATTCCCAGTGCCTCGTGCTTGCCTAGTACAGTTTAGGTACACAGTTGACTTCAGAGAGGTGAATGGAGCCATTGATTGGATGGATTGAGCTAGTTTTATTTTCTTTGCCTTCACTCTAGCTAATAATCTTTTCTTCTTGTAGGAAAGGGGGGTGGTAATGATCTGTGTATATGTCTCTCTTGAACCTCTTTGAAGAAGAATCCATCTTTAGAAACCTAGAGTCTATCCCTATACCTGACACTGGGTGAATGAGTAATAAAAGTAACTCTTATCCATGAAACCAGTAGCTCCAGGGACTCGGGCTGCTTCTGGGGAGCCTGGCCAGTTATTTTCATACGTTGAGGGCAAGGACGGTGAATTTATTCCTAGAAACTAAGTACATTCCTGCTTCTAACCCTGCTGTAATTTGGTCCCCCAGTGAGGTCTGTGACTCAGTTGCCAGCTACCATATTGACTTATTTGTACATAAACAGTTTTCCCCCATAACCTTCTCTTCCGCCAACATTCAGAGATAATGATATACAATCTTTGTAACATTGCAGACACTGCTTCAAAAACATTCTGTTGCTATAGGAATGTTTGTGATGTGCTTATCGCTAAAATTTCATGAGCAACAAACTCCAAAATTGCAGATGATTTAGTGTTTGAAGCAGGGAGTGAGTGTCTGTGTGTTTACATTTAAAAAAAAAAAAATACAAGCCTTTGAAAAGGGAAGTTTTCTTCTACAGAGTTATCTTCTCCTACAGTTGAAGATAAGAGCAGTGAGCACCTTCTCTTGAAGGTCCAGATGGGTGACAATGACTTGGAGTACCTCAAGCATTCAGGCAGGGGGCATATAAAGGCTTTTTTCTCTGTCACAGACAAAGGATTTCTCAATTAAAAAAAAAAAAAATCATTTGTAGAGCATTAGCTGGAATGAACACCAGCAGCCCTCTTGACATTTTGAAAATGATTTCTTTTCTCAAATGTCCCAAGTCCATTTTAATAGGTGACTCTTTGTTCTCATATGCAGGGAGGTAGCCTAGGGTTGGGAAGTCCAAGGCCAGGGTGGACAGGGCTGCTGGGACAGAGCCTCACTCTTTGTTAGCTGAACCCATCTCCAGACAACCCCGCCACTCCCCCAAAGTCCTTGTGGGTTCTTCTTCCCACAGGGACGCCCCCTGAACTACTTTTCTGTAGTCCAGAGAGGGACTTTGAAATCATTTTTACTTCTGGCCTCCCTCCATGAACCAAGATGCCAGCCACATATCCTAGGAAGGTTGAGCGTGTGTCCGTAGCGGTCCTCATGCTGCTTTCTAAGCCTCGATCCACAAGAGAAGGACAGAAACGGCGAGCAGACACTTAGCCACTTCACTCTGACTTGTCTCAATAGTCTGTTGTATCAAATAATAATTTTTAAAAAGTGGGCTGGCCAGGCGTGGTGGAGTGCACCTGTAATCCCAGTGACTCGGGAGGCTGAGACAGAGGATGACAAGTTTGAGGCCAGCTTCAGCCACTTGGTGAGACACTCAGCAACTTGGTCAAAACAAGACAAAAAAAAGGGGTGGGGATGTAGTTCAGTGGAAAAGCACTTCTGGTTCAATCCCCAGCATCCAAAAAAAGAAAAAAGTGGGCTAGTACTGTTTATGAATATCTTTTTATTTTTTCTATCAGTTCATTTTTATCATATTTCAGAAGCATATTTGTCTATGATGGGTGAGAAATTAAAACAAAATAGACCTTCATTGTGAATAGTTTTGAGAAGCCCCATGCTATGGTGCTTCTAAGCTGCCTCAGTGATCCAATAAAACAAAGAGGATAGTAGTGGATGAATTTTGGGAAATCACAGCACTTACCAGATTATATAGTAGTGAAATGTGTGCACTCTCCCCACTTCTTGGGAGCAAGGACTGCATCTGTCTAATTCATCTTGGTGGCCTGTTCCTCAGTGCCCACCGGGCCTGTTGAAGGTCTTGGGAGAGGTTTGCCCAACACACTTCTGCCCGCTCCCCTTGTCTGAGGGTAAGGGCAGCCTTGGGACTTCCCTGGGCTTCTAGGTGGCATCCTCCATAGGACCATAGAGACAAGCCAAGAGCCAACGACGAGGAAATGATCTTTCCTTCTCCTTTCCCTCAGACCCAGGTCTCCTCTTCCCAGCCCAGCAGCATGAAAGCAGCATGACTGACCGGCCGCAGGAGAAGCCCCCAGAGCCAGGCCCCCAACTCAGCCCTCTGCTGCCAAAGTCAAGGTGAGCTTGCTTTCCTCCTAGGAGGTGGAGGAAGTTTCATTTTAACAAATTCTACCATGCTTTTGTGATCCCTTGTCATAGTGGGGTGTCCCAGAACGAGGGTGGAGTTAGTGCATAGCCTTGGATATGTGCTCTTCTTAGTGATAGAGGGGCCAAGGGGGCGCGGGAAGGCCTTGGAGCTGAGTGTCTGGGTGGAGCTCTTGTTCCTTATTCCACCTTCGGAATCTGGGACTTGGATGGGTCTTTTAGGGAATGTTGGATGAAAGAATCTGTAGAGTAGAACAGAATTAGAGACTGTTCAGTCCACAGTTTGAGACTCCTAGTACATGCCAGACAGACTCCTGTCCCACTAGACAAAAGGGACATTAGATCATGAGCCAGGCCCACTGCAAACCAATGTTGGGCTGTTACTTGTTGGGAAATTCTTCCTAGCATTGGGACAGATGTTGCCTCTCTGGAACTTCTGTCTGCTGATCTCTGCTTTGCCAAATGGAACCACAGACTGACCTTTCAAAGACTTTTCCACATGCCTCTGTCTTTGGATTTGGAGATGGTTGGCATGCCTGTGACTCTGCTTCTTGGGTTTTTGGGGGGTTTTGGGGGGGGTACTAGGGGTTGAACCCAGGGATGCTTAACCACTGAGCCTCATCCCCAGCCCTTTTTTTGTATTTTATTTAGAGACAGGGTCTTGCCAAATTGCTTAAGGCCTCACCAAGTTGCTGAGGCTGGCCTTGAACTTGAGATTCTCCTGCCTCAGCTTCCTGAGATGCTGGGATTACAGGCATGTGTCGCCACTTTTTTTTTTTCTCTCTTCTAGAGACTGGTGCCAGTCACTTTTTCCTCTCCTCCCCTCCATGTTGGAAGGGGCTTTGTTAACTCCATGGTCTGCCCTGCCACTTGCCCACTCAAGCCCTGTCCTCAACCCTAGAGTCATTCATTCACTATTCCCTCTTTAGGGACTATTGAGAGCTTCCTTTGAAACCAAGAATGTGCTGGACCCTGGAGATACAGCAATGAGCAAGAAAGACAGGGTCTCTCTGTTTCCTAAAATGAAATAGATTGGATTCTTGGAGACAGTTGAAATCAGTTGAATTACTTTTGTATATTCCTTCTTTATCTTTTCAATTTTTTTCTTTCTCTTTTGGTGCTGATTGAACCCAGAGGTGCTTTACCACTGAGCTCAGCCCCAGTTCTTTTTTATTTTTAAATTTTGAAACAGAGTCTCAATAAGTTACAGAGTCTTGCTCAGTAGCTGAGGCTGGCCTTGAACTTATGACTCTCTTGCCTCAGCCCCGCAGGTCACTGGGATTACAGATCCCAGTGAGCCACCATCTCACCATTCTTCTGTGAATCTGGAGTCATTTTCCTTTGGCCTAAAATAAATCCTTCCATGTTATCCTTTGGTGGGGGACTCTTGGTGGCACACTCTAGGGATTTTTTCACTTTGGTTTTTGTTTTTTGTGGGTGGAGAAATATTTTTATTTTGTTCTTAGTTTTGCAAGGTGGCTTTCCTTATATCTGTCTACACCATTGGAGCCATTGTTTCAAAGCCTCTGGCATTGAGTGTTGCTACTGAGAAGTTGGCTGTCAATCCACATGCTGTGGTCTGACACTTCTCTCTGGCTACATTAAAGCATTTTATTTTCTTTGGTGTTCTTCAGGATTCTGATGTGTCTGCATGTAAATTTGTCTTTATTCTGCATGAGTTTCATTGGGATTCCTAGAGCTAAAGATCCCTATCTTTCAACAATTTAGGAAAGTTCATTTCTGAAGTTCAGTTCCCTTCATTTCTGAGTATTGCCTCTTCCCGCTGTCTGTGTCCTTCTGGAACCTCGGGTAGACTCACGTTGTCCCTTCCCACTCATCTCCGTGTCTTGTAACCTCGGTGCTGTACTTTTCATCTCTTTGTCTCTCTCTGTTGAACTCTGAATAATTAAATAATCTCTTAAAAATCTGTCTTCTCGTTAGTTCAATTATTCTGGGTCTCAAATGCGGTTTCATCCATCCATTGAGTTATTTTCTTTCTTTATTTGTCATTTCTAGAAGTTCTGATTTTATTTTTCAAACCAGCTTAGTGATTTTTCTGGTCTCTCATTACTTGTACATATTTGGAGACATTTAGACATTTACTTCTTTGAAATGCTAAATTAGCTAGTTGGAAATGTTACAGTCTCGTGTCTGGCAGTTCCAGGGTCCTTGAGGTCTGCTTCTGCGACCTGTTGTTTCTGCTGGCTGGGTTCACATTTCTTGTTTTTTGTCATTGCTCATTCTCCTTGGAACTTTATCTTTGAGAACTGTTTGAGGTGTGGTTTGAAGTTGGTTTTTCCAGAGAAGATTTGCTTTAAGTACTGCTGTGTTTTTTTTTGTTTTGTTTTGTGTGTGTGGGGGGGGGGGGGGTAGGGGGCACCAATAAAAAAACTGCTTTAAATTAATTAATCTGCTTCATGATTTTCTGGCCACACAAGTAACATAATTCAGACTGCAAAGCTGTGTGAAGTCCAGTTTATGGTTCCAAATTTTCAGGAGATTATTTTCCCAGCCCAACATCAGGTTCACTTGCAGTTCTCTCTGTGCTGTGGATTTTTTTTTTTTTTTTTCTCATTGAGAATGGAGCCACTTGGAGTCTCAGCTTTATGGGTCTCTCTAGGCTTTGACGCCTGTGCAGCTATCATTGGGAAACTTAGACTCTTCAGGATTCAACGGAAATCCACAGAGCCAAAAGCCTTCAGGGTAAAGGCCAGTTTTGGTACTAGTTTACCTTCCAGGGGTCCTGCTCTTGTTATTACTAGGTTGTTTTTTCGTTTTTTTCCTCTTTGGTTATTGTCTTTGAATAATCTTTCCATTTATACCAACAGTCCACATGTGCATACAACCTTTACATTTATTTATTTTTTTATCTAATGGATTGGTTGTTTCAATTAAGAGGATGGAGTCATCCACCATATTGCTGGATGACATTTATCTAATTTCTTGTCCACAGTGGCCCTATTGGTTCACACAGAAGAGTGAACCAAACGGGCCAGGGTTGTCGCTCAGTGGAAGAGCGCTTGCCTAACATGTGTGAGGCCCTGGGTTCAATCCTTAGCACCACATAAAAATAAATGAATAAAATAAAGGCATTGTGTCCGTCTACAACTAAAGATTTAAAAAATGAATAAAAGCTCAGAGAGGATGTAACCAGCACAGCCACCAGCCTAACAGGACAAGAACTGGGAAGAAGTGTTTCCCTCTCCTCCCACCTCTCCCCTCCCTCAGGTAGCTGTTGACCATTTGCAGGGCTCATAAAGAATATGAGTCTCTGCCAGGATGCTTTAAATAGCTGGACAGCTTTGTAAAATTTGTTTATGGCTCTATTGTTTATCTTCCTTGAGAGAGGAAATGGCGTCTGCATATTTTGTGGTTTGTTTCTCCAGCATCACCAGCAACGTTCCTGCTGTGTTCCACACTGTGAAGGGTTCCTGGACCCAGAGCAAGGTCCCAGTCCTCCTCCTCCAGACCCTCACTGCCTCTCCTCCCATGCTGCTCTCCCCTCCTCCTACTTTCTCTCCGCCTTGTCCCTGTCCCGCCCTGTCCTGCCTGCCTTTGGTTTTTCTGTTTCCCACCCGTGTGCCTTTCCTGGAGGGGAGCCTACCAAGCACTCTAGTTGGACGTTTGGGCTTTGGGGGACAGGGAGAAGGAGCTGAGATTGACCCTGGCTCCAGCTCTTGCTAGCTTCACCTCCCTAAGCTTCAGTCTCTCCTCTGTCACCTGAGGGCAGTGGATTAAATGAGATAATTGTAACTGGGAGCTTGGACGTAGTCATAAGCCCTCTACCATCCTGTTATTAGGACTGAAAACAGAGAGCTCCAAGGCCAGGGCTGTTGTTCAGTGATGCTTTTAAATGGCCATAGCTGTATTACAAAATGGAATGCAAGTGGAGACGGGCATCGGGTGTACCTGAGGGACTCCCAGCTTCATTGTTACAGTTCAAGGACTGGAGTATTATAAAAAAAATCATCTGAGGAGGCAGGCACAGGGGTATAGAAGGGTAGTCCCAGCCAACTCAGGAGGCTGATGCAGGAGGATCACTCAAGCCCAAGAGTTTGAGACGAACCTGGGCCACAGAGCAAGAGCCTGCCTCAAAAACAAATAAAATGAAATAATCTGAGGGAAGACAGAACATAAGTCAGGCCACTGTTTGCAGAGGATCTAAGTCATGGGTTCTGGAGATGAGGCTGAGACCCCTGTACTCCAGGATGACTATGATGGGGCTGGAGCCAGGAGATGCCACTCACTGTTAACGTTTCCCTTGTGGGAGCCCCCAGGTCAGGGTACAGCAGTGACGGGAGGGAGAGAAGGGTCTTCGACATCCATTTACTTCCATTCTTTTCATTTTTATTTATTTTTTGATACTGGGACTGAACCCAGGGGCACTTTGCCACTGAGCTACATCCTCAGTGTTTTTTTTTTTTTGTTTTTGTTTGTTTGTTTTTGTTTTGAAACAGGATCTCATTAAGTTGCTGAGGATCTTGCTGAGTTGCTGGGATTACGAGTATGCTTCTCCATACCCGGTTCATTTCTTTCCAATCTTATAGTTGACATGAGACTTTTTACTTCACCTTCTAGTAAGTGGCTTTATATTGCTCCCAGATTTGTATCAGATCACTTCCTGATTTGATATCTAGCAAGCAGCAATTCTTATCTCAGCACCTTCTATTTATTCATAGTGACTCTAGGCTCTATAGAGTGGGCAAATAGTATTTAAAATGTATAAAGTTGCTATGAAACTTTAAGTCCTTTAAAAAATTGGTCTGTTAGCTGAGCACAGTGGCACACGCCTGCAGTCCCAGTGGATTGAGAGGCTGAGACAGGAGGATCCTGACTTCAAAGCCAGCCTCAGCAACAGCAAGGCGCTAAGCAACTCAGTGAGACCCTGTAGGCTCTAAATAAAATACAAAATAGGGCTGGGGATGTGGCTCAGTGGTCGAGTGCCCCTGAGTTTAATCTCCAGTACCTCCCCC